ACACTGCACATAACCTCACCAACACACCTCCGCCAGACAGTCTGTTGTGGATGACAGAAGAAAAGGCACCCATGATGAAATTCACAGTCTCAAATCTGGACAGGATCATGAATTACGACCTGATTCCACATTTAGAGGATGTTCCTTTGGATCTGGTGAACAAGTGTCTGAATTGAGTTTATGGAGTGTATTTCTCTTCACTGGCTCTCTTTTCAGTCTCCCAGAGTCGCTGCCTGATGAAATGTGGCAAGACACGCGGTGCAGCTTGCTCGTTCAAGTCCTTTTCAATAATACGAGTTCTCAGAGGCAACATGGCAGCAGCCACACTTAGTGCCTTGTGTGCCAGTTCCTTTCTAGCACCGCCAATTTCAAGCACGATTCTGCCAGCACCCATCCAAGTTGCAAAGTAGTCGACACTGCCCTTTCCTGAACCCATACGAGCACCATTTCCTTTGGCAGTCACTGGTCTGTGAGGGAAACAACGCATGTGCATCTCTGCTGTCTTTTCTTGTTTGATGATTCTCTTCACAGCCAGTCTCAATGTGTCCAATTGCTTGTCCTTGAGTCTACCACCCTCAATCACTTGCAAACCATAGTCTCCCTTGAAAACTGTTGTGCCTTTGAGAGAACCACCAGAATGCGTTGGGAAAAAGCCCTTGTGTGCCTTCTTGTACTTGAGCTGCTTTGGTCTGTAGTTGGCCACAGCTGTTCTCTTTTGTCCAAATGTAGGCATCAGCCATTGCAGTGGTCTTTTGATCGCGCTGCTAAACAACATTCAGAAGGAAAGAAAAGTGGATTGGTTTATTCCTTGAGTCTGTATTCCTCACCACGCTTGGTGCCCATCAGTTGAAACTTGTTCTACGCTTAGGAAGAATACATGCTGGCTGGTGATTCCCCAGTACAGAAATGCTGGGAACACAATTGTCAGCACTCCAGTGATGAGTGCAGTGCGTCTGGTGAATTTAAAATGGACTTGTGTGTTTTCTTTCATGTGGTACCATTTCTCGATAGCTGGATCAATCTCTGTTTAAGTGCCGTACCAGAATCGGTGGATATTTGCCATGCCCATGTCCTCCCATGTTTGTTGCTGATGAGTAAAGAAGTCGCGAATACTTTCCTAGAAACTCATGGCTGGCATTGTTCCAACGCTTGGTGCTCCCTCAAGCTACAGAGACAGACGCTACGAGGGTGGACTTGAGAAACTTGAACGAGACCTTGGGGTTTCAACGACTTTGTATGTTGGCAACTTGTCCTTTTTCACAACAGAAGAGCAGCTGCATGAAGTGTTTTCCAAGTGTGGAGAGATCAAGAGAATCATCATGGGACTGGATCGTCTCAAAAAGACACCATGTGGATTCTGTTTTGTGGAATATTACCACAGAGACGATGCACTCGACTGTATGAAGTACATTAACGGCACCAAAGTGGATGAGCGCATCATCAGAACTGATATTGATCCAGGTTTTATCAGTGGCAGGCAATACGGTCGTGGCAAATCTGGAGGTCAAGTAAGAGACGAATGGAGAGAAGACTATGACGAAGGTTTGTCATTTGATCAGAGGTCGAGGTGGATGGGGTGCACGAGTGCGTGAAGAAGAGCAACGTGGTGAACAGCAACGAGAAGTCTATGGATCGCTGCATTCACTGCCGCAGGGTGCATCTAATGACTACTATTACCAGACATCTGGATCTGGCAAGAGAGGTAGAGACGAAGACGACTATGGGTACAAAAAACGCTCAAACGCCAGATTCAGGGAGGGAACTCCGGAATAAAGTCGCGTTGAGTTTCCCTCAAAACGGCTGAATGAGCATGGTTGTTCCTGCGGTGAACAAGAGTAAAGACAGCCGCAAGCTGTGTTTCGAGTGCAGCAAAACCATCAAGTCCAAAGAACCAGGGGTTTCTTGTGCGCAGTGTCATCAACAGGGTGAGAGCGTTAACAAGAGCACATTCAGAATGTTATCAGAATACTGCAAAGACACAAACAACGGTCTTGTGTCCGAAGTGCAATACGTGTGTGGTCTGCAACAAGAGTGAAGACAAACCAGAGTGTATCTGTCAACAATGTCACAAGATGACACATCTTGAATGTCTGAAACGACCACCGAGAGGTCTATGAATTGATCGTAGGAGACTACAAATGTTCAGACTGCCTTTCTTCCAAACAAAAGACACTGAAGCAAAAGAAACCATCTAAAAGTCCGACAAAAGAGCTTGTCCACCAAGTCAAGCTTCAAACCAACACAGTTGCCATGAAACGATCGAAATCAGCACCAGCAGTCGTCAAGAGTCCCAAGTATACATTACAATCAGTGCTTCACTCACTTGCAGAAAACACGTCATCTGAACCCGCTTACTTTGGCAAAAAGCTCACACTTGAGCAAGCAAATACCCAGCCATGCACACCTGGTCTTGCTGATAGACAGTACTTTGAGGCATCTTTAGAACCCACACTCCCAATGTTAGACACTGGCGATGGCGAATCTTATGTTGCGTTGCCAAAGATGCCCAAGATCCAGATTGGAGAGTACACAATTGACACATGGTATGCTGCACCGTATCCACAAGAGTACAATGTGTTGCCATGTCTGTTTTTGTGTGAGTTTTGCTTCAAGTACATGAAATCAGAGTTTGGACTCAAGAGACACATGCTCAAGTGCACCACAAGACACCCACCTGGTGATGAGATCTACAGAGAAGGTAATATTTCTGTTTTTGAAGTGGATGGTCGCAAACACAAGATCTACTGTCAAAACTTGTGTCTGTTGTCAAAGATATTTCTAGACCACAAGACACTGTATTATGATGTAGAACCCTTTCTGTTTTACATCATGACAGAGCAAACAGAGACTGGTGCACATTTTGTTGGCTATTTTAGCAAAGAGAAGCGATCTTTGGCAAACTACAACGTTTCTTGTATATTGACCCTGCCCATTCACCAGCGAAAGGGATATGGTAACTTTTTGATACAATTCAGTACTTTGTTTGAGACTAGGCTATTTGCTGACTTCCAAAGAAGACAAGTATGGCTCTCCTGAGAAGCCACTGTCTGATCTCGGTTTGTTAAGTTATAGACACTACTGGCGTACAGCTGTTGTGAATGCCATCTTGGATCTAGATGACGATCTCTTGACAATCGACGACATCATGACAAAAACACGCATGACTGCTGATGATGTCGTTCACACACTCTTTTTGATGAACATGCTCCACAAGAACGCAAAAGGTGACTACGTACTCGTGAAGAACAAGCAAGCCCTCTTGGAATACAAGGACAAGATACTTGCCAAAGGCTACATTCAAGTCAAGCCAGAGCTCTTGCAATGGGATCCCGTTCTCTTTAACAGAATAGAGTAAATGAGTCTCAGATGTCCCCACCAGAGGTCACCAGCAGATGTCAAGCATCAGAGCGTGTTAAATTTCTTTCCCGGCCGATGGAACTTTCTGAAAAAGACTTTGATCCAGTGGATGCAGAAAAGATTGCTGCAGCCATACAGGAAGCAAAGCAACTGCCTCCAGAAGTGATGGAGTTCCTGCCATTGTCTAAAAATCCACTCCAAGGACTGCTGGACATTTGCAAAGCATCCAAGCAAAAGTACACCATCCAAAAGTGGTCCAAGTCTCTGTTTGAGTTTCTGCTCAAGTCTCATGATCGTTCTCATGTCAGAAACCAACTCATGGACATGGTTGTCAAAGAGGGTGGATCTGTTTGGTGCATTCTCTTGAAATCCTTTGACATTCAGCTAAGCAAGGACATTCCATGGCCTGAAACTGAACTGATCCTGGAAGATCTCAAGACAGCCAAAAAGTTTCACATGTACTGCTCCATGATTCTTGATCACAATCTATTGACATCATTCAACATTGACGACATTTATCAACTGTTGCTGGAAAAGGGAGACTTGAGTGCTGTTGATTTGATGCTCGCTGTCACTGGGATTGAACCTCTCAAGCGTGTCGTCTATTCACAGACATATTCAGTTCTCGACGGCAGAGTCACTGCACCAGTCAAAGCCATTGCAAAGAATGGTGTCAAAGTCTTCACAAAACACGGCATCCAAGTCGCAGAACCACAGCTGTTGATTGCCTCTCGTCTGGACACTCTCTACTGGCTCTCGAGACAATTCAAGGACATTTCCAAAGATACCGATGGCAATCCAGCCTTTGATCACCGTGAAATCATGCAAGCGTATCTTGCGAGTATCTTTCTCTTTCTTGATGCACAACCAACTGAACCATACGATTGTCAAAAGTGGCTGGCCAATGCTTTTGTTGATACCATCATCAGATTCAATGCCTTGCATCCATACACGAGTCAGATCATCCAACGCTACAGATTGAATCATAGGATCTCGTCTTGGATACCCAATAGCAACAACACGGTATCCAACAAAGTCTGGTACTCTAGCGATGCTGAAATCACCTTCATTGATGACATGTCTTTTCTCGAACACTTTCATCAACAGTCTCATGTCGCAGAGTCTTGTGGCTTGGATTGTGAGTGGGGCTCCATGCAAGCAACACTTTCTACTGTCCAAATTGCCTTGCAGTCAAAGAAAACAACCACCGCGTATGTTTTTGATGCCAAAACACTCACCGGTCTACAATTACAGCAGTATCTCACACCTCTTTGGGAAAGCCAATGCAATTTTCTTGTCTTTTCTGGTGGCCAAGACTTTACAAAGATTTCAGCTCATTCTGGTCTTGGATTGCCTCAGCAACGCTTTGATCTGTCCGATCTTTGTCCAACATACCTCACCGCTGGGACAAAGAAAGGCTTGACCGATCTCGCCTTTGCATGTCTTGGTGCTGCTCTTGACAAGCGTCCACGCATGGGATGTTGGGATATGCGACCTCTCCCACGCACATTGATCAGATATGCAGGTTTCAAGCCTCAACTTAGCATGGGATGCCTGTGTGCTACTGGCTTTGCATCGTTTTCATCTCTCAAGAGTGTAGACTGTAAATGGTTCATAAAACACCGGATTTTTCCATTTTGAGAGGCCTATTGGCCAAGTCGCACGGCGTCGCTCTCCTAAAGCGAAGATCGTGGGTTCAATCCCCACATAGGTCTCCATTTTTCTGTTTTTGAAATAAGCTTTTTTACCTCTCTCAACACTCTGTCTAGTTCTCATACTTCTTGCATGTGGTTTATTGGACACGCTCACCAGCTGCCTAACTCTGATAAACACCCTTTCTTGCCATGACAATGACGACTGGCCAACACACTTCAAACTCGCCTTGAACGTGCTGGCTGACCTCTTTCATGTGCTTGTCCAGGACATCTTCTGCATCTGGATGATCCTGCTTGAACTTCTTGTATGGCGACCAAGTGCTGAGATAGCCACGCATGAGATCCAGATTCCACTTGGCACGCATGAGAAACGGTCGTTCGGTGCCATCAAAAACCAATCGCTGGAAATCTTCAAGAGGTGATTCAAGATAGTCAGGGTCAGAGTACAGTCTGTCCAATCGCTGTCTTCGCTCGTCCCACCATGGCTTCAAGATCACATCCGAGTAGTGTTTGTGGAGCCGCGTGAGTTCGGGATGACTTGGCACTTCAAAGTACGCATAGCCCCAGTAGCACAGGGATCCCCCTGGCTTGAGTGCCTTGAGACACTCGTTGTAGAACTGCGGCATGTCAAACCAGTGGGCTGCCTCTGATGCAGTGATCAGATCGACAGACTCTCTCTTGACAAGATGTGCAAAGTTCTCTGCAGTAGCGACACTGTAGGTGATGTTGCTTGCTTGGTGGGCTTGAGAGACCATGGATTCTGAAATGTCTGTACCAATGACTTGCTTAAAGACCTTGGAGAGTTCCTCGGCAGTCTGGCCAGTTCCAGTGGCTACATCAATGGCCAGATCAGTCTTCTTGCCGTGGTACTTGAACACAATGTCAAAGAGCTCCTTTGGGTACGTGGGGCGAAACTGCTTGTAGAGTGCTGCTGGATACGCGACCATGCAAACTTTATGTTCGACTTGAGGCCAGTTGAAGCACCAAGCAAGGTCAGAGAGACGAGTGAGCTCATGGACACATGCATTCGTTCCATGGAAGAGATCCTGGACAAGATCAATGCCATCAAGCAAGAGCCAGAAAACAGAGATCAAGTGTTTAGAGAGGAATGCACACTGAGACTGTTGACACTGTGTCATCAGAACCATTTGCTGCTCCAGCAGCACCAGTTGCTCTCCCAGGCTGTCCAGGAACAAGACGCCAGAATCAAAGGCTTGGAGCTTGGACAGCACATGCACAGTCCGGTGGAGTCATCTGGTGAGATGGAAGCATTGACTCGCAGAGTCACTCAGATGGAAGACTCGTTAAAGAAACTGGTGAATCTGGATGAACATTGTCAGAGAATCCTTGAGCTCGAGAGGCAATGCCAGCGATTGACTGACCTCCAACAACTTGCAGAAAGAAATGCTCTCGAACGCAACACACTGGATCCAGTGAGAGACTCTCTGACGATGGACGCTTCTCCAGTGCTGATCGAGACACTCTGGGACAACGTCTTTGACAAAGAGCCACTGTGGACACACTCCAAGTTTGAGACACGAGAGGCATTGCTGGAGATTGTCGACAAAGAAACCAGATACACGATCACAAAAGACACCAAGAACGCATTGCATCTCGCTTGTCCTCATGAGTGCTCGTTTGTGCTCAAGGCACGCAAGTGGAAGCTGTGGCACATCTATCAATTCACACAGCACCAAAAAGACTGCGAATTCAGATAAATTTGTTATGCTTTGTGTTCTGGCTTGGGCCTCTTCTGCTGCATGTAGATCACGACTGGTCTCTGGATCAGCAGATGCTCCACTTCCTGCGACAGACTCGAATCGTATCTGTGCGCGAGGACTTTGGAGGGATGCAGGAGCGGGAGTTCTGGTGTCTTTTCAGGACGCTGATATCTTCTCTTTGGTCGTTCTTCAACCTCCTCTTCCACCAACGGATTGCAGAACGAAGGCGGTGGCAGCAGATGCGCACCACGCAGGACTGGCAGCACTGGCTTGCGTGAGAAATGCTTGGAGAGGACATCTGGTGGTGGCCCATCTCTGACAACAACAAGCGATTGTCGAGGTTCTGAAGACCTCCTGCGCAAGGAGAGTTTTCGCAGCAGCTCCAAATCTCTGTCTGTCTTTTGAACAAACTGTGTGCTGGTGTGTGGAAAGGGTGCCATCTTTATCGACGGGAGGCAATGTGAGCGTGTTCTGTTCCAGAAACTGTCGTTTGATTGCTCAAACCGCATCTCGCGCAAACTATCGGATCCTCAGAGCATCAGATAAGGCAATGAAAGAGAAAGGAGTAAAATGAAGGAGGGGCAAAACGAGATCCCGGTGGGGGTCGAACCCACGACCTTCAGATTAGAAGTCTGACGCTCTACCAATTGAGCCACGGGACCGCTGAAAATGGGTGATCTCACAACATCACAATCCTGTGGTGTGTTTTGATATTGCCAGACTTTTTTGAAGAATCTCAACTGCAGGATATGAATTCATGTTCCTTGACACTCTGAATCAAGCATCACATCTCTATTTATTGCTATCGTTGATCAGGAGACACTACAAGGCACGATTGATCTTGATTCTACCAGTGGCAGTATCTTGGATGGCATGAAGACTCTCATCTCTTTGCCAGCGTAGCAGCACTCTGTTCATCTTGGTGTCTCACTAAATGCCACATCTGTGAGTCTTTAGCTCCTGCAGCCACAATGTGTAGTTTGGGCAAACAAAGGATCCTCAATCTCTTTCAGAGTCAGGACGTGTCAACTGCAGTATTGTGCAATATCATTCTTTTATGATGCTCAACGTTGTAATGCTGTCCAATATTGCCAGGCGTTTGCAGTTTATTCCATCACTTGGGATCAACGTTTGATTTTGGCAGTAGTTCAAGAACGTTATGGATATTCTCTGAATATTGACAAAGGAGCCTGGTCATTGACTCTCAGACTCTTCCTCGTGATAGCAAGGACAATCAGAAAGGCTTATGAATGTTGATTGGCAAGTCGCATGGCATTCGTGTCTAATCAATCGCTCTACGAGTTTGAGAGTGGTTGTGTTGAAATAGAGCCAGTTGTAGTTAACGGAGAATCCTAGTGTATCCCAGAGGTCTGCGATGAATCTGGCGTGATGTTTGAATTCCCGAATGATTCGGTATCCGATTGGCTGGCCGTACAATATGGTGCTATTTTTGTGTCTCCTATTTCCGATTTCTCCGTTTCCATGACCCGAATGGAAATGTTTGGCGGGTGGCGCAGCATCCACTTGTGTTGGCATGATTGTGTTAAAAGCCGAGCTGACATGCGCCACACTCGAGGACGATGGAGTCAATGAAAGCAAGTGATTCTGATACTTGATAGAACTCCGAAGGCTTTCCGTATGCTGTTTTTTGCTGAAATGGCCGCACGTTCGAGAGATCAAAGCTTAAAAGTTCGGGATTTGTGCTGGTTTCGGATAAAAATGAGATTGACAAGAGAGAGTCAAATGATCAGATTTTGATGAAAAGTGAAGTTTCCTGACATTTCAAGAACAACCTCACGTATGTGTTTCTTGATGCATTGAATCTTTCATGGCTGCTGGATGCCCTTTTCTTGACAGTGTTTGACGTTGAATTGACAAACGCGTTCTTTGCGAACTCAAGATGATGTTATCTAGAGCTAAACCGGCTGTCCAGACAGCACCAGTAGAATCTGCACCTTCTCAACAAAAGAATGAACCAAAGCTGTCGACTTTTATTCAGAAGCGAGACTTTCTTGGTGCTATCACGCTCTTGGAGTTTTTGAAAGCGTCCGGCAAGAGCTCTAATGAGAACATGTTTTGGCTGGGATACAGTCAATTTCATCTGGGTGAGTTCATGCAAGCGATGGAGACATATCAGACAATGGCTCAACAAGAGAACTGTGACCCACTCGTATACTTGTATCTCGGATGCTGCTACTTCTTTCTTGGAATGTACAAGGAAGCAGATGAAGCAGCACAACGCGGTCCAACGTGTAAACTCCAAAATCGACTGTTGTTCCATCTGTCACACAAGTTCAACGATGAAAAGAGATTGATGGGCTACCACCAGAACCTGCAAGATGTGATTGAAGACCAGTTGAGCTTAGCATCCATCCACTACTTGCGCAGCCACTATCAAGAAGCCATTGACATTTACAAACGCATTCTACTCGAAAACAGAGACTTTTTAGCAGTGAATGTGTATGTGGCCATGTGCTACTACAAACTAGATTACTACGATGTCTCTCAAGAAGTCTTGTCAGTGTATCTGCAGCACTATCCAGATTCGATTGTAGCTACCAATGTCAAAGCATGCAACCACTTTAGACTCTACAATGGCAAAGCAGCAGAACAGGAACTCAAGCTGTTGTCCGAAAAGATGTCGCATTCATGCAAGTTTGCTCAAGATCTGATCAAACACAACCTAGTCGTCTTTAGAGGTGGAGAAGGTGCCTTGCAAGTGTTCCCACAGCTGCTGGATGTGATTCCAGAAGCACGCTTGAATCTGGTGATTTACCACTTGCGCAACCAGGACATTGTGGCTGCCTTTAATCTGATGAAAGATGTTGAGCCGGCAACACCGCAAGAGTACATTCTCAAAGGCATCGTCAATGCAGCACTGGGACAAGAACAAGAGTCGCGCGAGCATCTCAAGATCGCACAGCAGTACTTTCAGCTTGTGGGTGGATCCGCTAGTGAGTGTGACACCATTCCTGGTAGACAATGCATGGCTTCTTGCTTCTTTTTGTTGAAGCAGTTTGATGATGTCTTGATCTATCTCAATTCGATCAAAGGATACTTTTACAACGACGACACATTCAATTTCAACTATGCACAAGCCAAGGCAGCGACTGGTGCGTTTGAGGAAGCAGAGGAATTGCTGTTGATGATCCAGAGTGATCGATTGAAGATGGAATACGCTTATCAGAGTCACTTGGCACACTGCTGTATTCAAACTAAGTGTAGATATCATGAACAAGAAAGCCAAGATGGCATGGGACTTGTACTTGAAAATGGAAACATCAAGTGAGTCTTTCAACCTCTTGCAGCTGATTGCCAACAACTGCTACAAGACTGAGCAGTACTTGTATGCAGCCAAGGCTTTTGATGTCCTTGAAAGGCTTGATCCTAGTCCAGAGTACTGGGAAGGCAAACGTGGCGCATGTATGGGTGTGCTAAAGCAGATTATTGCCAACACTGAATCCAAAGAGAGCTTTAGAGAGATCCTGTCTATTCTCAGAAGCACATCCAATCCACAAGTGGAGTATATCGTCCGTGTCCTCAAAAATGTACTTGATATGACTCTAGTTTGCCAAAGAGAACAGAATCTCCATATAAACAGACTTGAATGCATCTATCATTTGGAACTGTGTCACTTGAATCCATCTGCCACATGAATCTGTATGCGTAACAGCAGCCAACAGATCTCATCTCTTCTCAGTCCTCGAGCATTCTTTGCATGATTTCACGCATCTTGTGCGTTGCTGAAAAACCATCCATCAGCAAAGCCATTGCAGCCATTCTTTCTGATGGACAATTCACAACAAAACAGACCAAGAGCAAGTTCATCAAGAACTATGAGTTTGAATGTCGCCATCAGAATCAGGACGCAACAATGGTCATGACTTGTGTGTCTGGACATTTAACATCCATGGAGTTTGATCAGCAGTACAAATTGTGGAAGGAACAGACAACACAGGAGCTCTTTCATGCCCCTGTGCATGTGCAAGTGGCAGAGGACATGAAGGCGATCGAACACAACTTGATTCAGGAAGCCAAATACAGCCAGATGCTAGTGATTTGGACTGATTGCGATTTGGAGGGAGAGCACATTGGATCAGAGATTGTGTCAGTCTGTCGCAAGGTCAACCCACGCATTATTGTCAAACGAGCTAGATTCTCGATTGTACAGCACAGAGAAATCAGACAGGCATGGTCTCAGTTAGTAGAATTGGACATGAGAGCAGCAAAAGCAGTGGAAGCAAGGTCAGAGTTGGATCTCAGGATTGGTGCTGTCTTTACGAGATTTCAGTCTCTCTTGCTCAAGCCACGATTTGGAGAGCTCAAAGATGTCAAGTTTCTCTCGTTTGGATCATGTCAGTTTCCTACCTTGGGTTTCAAGATTGACTCTAGGATTTGTTGTGGAACGCTATCTGGAAGCAAAACGCTTCATCCCAGAGCCATTCTGGTCACTGGAAGCCATAGTGAAAGAGAGCGAGTACAATGTCAAGTTCAAGTGGCAGAGAGACAGATTGTACAACGAACAAGCTATTCAAGCATTCTATGACCTTTGCCACAACAAGCAAGCCAAGATTGTCAAAGTAGAAGCCAAACCCAAATCTAAATGGGCTCCTCTTCCATTAACGACGATTGAATTGCAAAAGAGTGCATCCAAGTTTCTTGGCATGACTTCGGACAGAGTCATGTCAGTCGCAGAAAAGCTGTACAATGAGGGTATCATCAGCTATCCAAGAACAGAGACAGATGTCTTTGGTGACACATTTGATCTCATGACACTTGTCCAGAAGCAACTCAATAGTCCACAGCCATTGTCACAGTATGCTCAGCGGTTACTCAATGGAGAATTCGTGCGTCCAAGAAAGGGAAAGAACGATGATCAAGCGCATCCACCGATCCATCCAGTCAGAGGTGCAGCTGAACTCGGTGGAGATGAGCAGCGTGTGTATGACTTTATTGCCAGACGCTTCCTTGCTTGCTGTTCCAAAGGAGCCAAGGGAAACGGAACATTGGTCGAGTTTGATCTTGAAGGAGAGATCTTCTCAGCCACTGGACTGACAATCACCGAACGCAACTATCTGGATATTTTCCCGTTTGAAAAGTGGTCTGATACACACTTGCCTGTCTTTACACTCGGACAGATCATTCATCCACAAATTCAGTTGCATCGCGGTGAAACGACAAAACCAAGTCTGTTGACTGAATCTGATCTGATCACACTCATGGACAAGAGTGGTATTGGAACAGATGCTACCATCCATGAACACATCAAAAAGATCCAGGACAGAGATTATTGCCACAAAGATGGTGCTTACTTTGTACCTACTGTGCTTGGATTAGCACTCGTGGAAGCTTATGACAAGATGAACATTGATCTGCAGTTTTCCAAGCCGATGATGCGACATTTGATGGAAACGAATATCCAAGCCATCTGCAATGGATCAAAGACCAAGGAGCAAGTTGTGCAAGAGACTGTTGAAATGTACAAACAAGCATATCAAAAGATCCAGAGACAGAAGCAAGTCATGGTGGATTGCTGCTCTGCGTTTTGGAACTTGGTGGAAGAAACAGGCACTGGCAAGTGTCCCAAGTGTCAGAAACCAATGTATCTGAGGCAAACCAAACAAGGAAAGCATTTGTTGGCTTGCAAAGGCTATCCAGACTG